TGTTATCTAAGAACCTAAGACCATCCAGCAAAAAAAAAAAAAGGAGACAAGAATGATTCAAGAGACCTCCCTGGACCACTGGGAATAGCTAAAAGTAGAGTCTATCAAGGTGCCGAGTTTTCTCTATTTCACCACAGACCCAGGAGGATTACTGTGCCCTGAGGATCCATGACCTCCACTATGTTCTCCGCCTTCTTACAGACAGCAGGGATTCCCCATGATAATTAGCATTATGCCCTTATAAAGAAAGGGCTTGTGTAGTACTTGCTTTGGGCACAGCAGGAAAGCAGGCTGAACAGACTCCTCTGCAGCTAGACTTGCAGTGAGAGGAAACCAAGAATTGGCTTAGGCGGTGACCACTGTTGACTGACAGGATCCTGACTGAGGTCTGAGGCCTTTGGATCCATGAGAAATCTCCTGGGGTAGAGAAAGAGGCTCAGGGTTTACGCCAGACAAAATTCTGTTGTTCTCTAGCAGGGCCCCTGAATTCTTCCCACCAGAAAATGTTCCAACCACAGCAGCGTATGATAAAATTTAGCAAGGCAGTAACAGCAAGCAGCCTTTATCTGGAATCATTTAGTCTGACTTTGTTGACATGAAAATCATCCTTCCAGTAGAACAAAGGAACCAGCCTTGCTTCTATCATGCTGTTTCTCCAAGGCCTTACACAGTGAGGTGGTTGAGAAATGATAGCTTTTACTACATTTCGTTTGGCAAGTGTGTAAGAAGAGGGTAGATAGAGAGCCCTTTAGCACAGGCATTGAGGATATTTACCTTGTGTATACAGCAGACTTTTGGAATGCTAGCTAACCTGCTGAATTGCGCCAACTGTTTTTATTTTCTAAAATGGTTTGCAGAATAAAAAAAAAACAAAAACAAAAACTGACCTTGCTTGCTGCTTGAGGAACAGATAAATCTCGATTGTCTGAAAATTTTCAGTTCGAGCATTTTAAGAGTTTGTCTCTCATTGTTACGAAACTGTCACCATAGTCATTCATTTTTCATCGCTGGCCCATTTTAGAGCTAGAAGTTCATTTCAACTAATCTTATTTTTATGGGATGAGAAACTGTGTCCAGAACTATTCAAGGACTCGCCTAATAGGAGTGGCTAATTACGGCCTGAGCAGATCCGTCGAGAGCCCGGGGAGCCACCACCTTTTGCTCTCTTTCTGTCACCACACCAGCATTTTCCAAACCGTGTTCCAGCGAGCACTAATCCCGCAAGGATCTGAGCAAATAACCCTTCCCAGAAGTTTGGGGAATGCTGTGTGCTGTCTCCCCTTCCTGATCTCATGAACCTGCGAGGCAGGGAATGCTTCAGGGAAGTCTGACAGTAGAGAAACCCACTGAACCTTGTCTGAGCCAGCATGTCCTAGACTCAGTGACAACAGAATTGTTTTAAATTCTACCTTACAGAAACGCTTCGCCTTGCCATGCTGTCGCCCTTACCCAGTGTTTCTCGGTAGCTCATATTTAAAACGTTTCTAAGAGCTCCCTTGAGTATGCCCTGTACATTAAAGAAAAATCAAAACTTTGTGTGGTGGAGAGCTGACATTTCCTTAATATTAGTATTTCAATATTACTTTCTACTTTAAGAGTACTTAAAGTTTATTAAATAGCATCTAGAAAATGAAAGGAAAAGACAAAAGGACATTTAAGATGCCACCAGCTAGACATCACTGTTATTTTTATTTATTTCCTTCTAGGCTTTTAAAAATGTGTGGTGACTTTTATACAGCTGTAATCTTACTCTGCAGACAACTCTGTCCTAAGCTAGTTTTTGATCAGGCACATAATTTTAACGATCATAACTGATCTTCACGAGACATGCTGAGTGAACAGAAGCAGTGGTCTAGAATGAAGTGTTGAAATGACTTTGCTTGGTTCATGCACTGTAGGGGCCTTGGTCAGGACCTAGACATGTGGGTGGCAACAGATCCTGAGCTCACAGGGGCAGAGGCCATGTGGAGGCCCGGCAGACCTCTCCTTGGGATGGAAATGACTTTACCTGTGCAAATGTCATAGGCCCAGGCTTCTGGGTAAGTCTCCCTAGATGTGGAAAGAAAGAGAAAACTGGAGCATCAGTTGACCTACTTCTATTCCTGGCTCTGCAGAAGTGGGATGTTTAACCCTCTCCACTGCGTCTGCTCATTCTGAAAATGCCCACTTTCACACTGGCCTGCTCGCAGTTCCTCATGGGCCATGCAGCTTCCCTTCCAGGGCCTTTGCCCAGAAAGCCCTTCACCTGAACTCCCAGACTTCTCTGACCTTCTCAGATAAGATTCTACGCTCCTGATCCATGTCTCAGAGTGCCTGCAGTTTTCCTGTAAAGACAGAATTTGCCGCAATGTGTAATTACATATTTATGTGGCTATTTGATTGTTTGCATTTCCTATTGGACTGAAAGCTATGTTAGGGTAGGCCTGTTTTGCTTACCAAGGTATACGCAGCATTCACCATGGTATATTCGATATGTTAGGCACAAAGAAGGAATTCAACACAAAATTGTTGAATCAAATGAATGAATGAGGGTGGTTAGAACTATATGGCTCTTAAACTTCTTCCAGTCCCAAAAAGATATTAATATTCACAGCCTAATATACAGTGGTGTTATTGGGGTTGAGGTCTATCACCACCACCACTACCTCACCCCTCCCCGCCCCGGAAAAACCCATAAGCCAGGTAACACAGACAACAGTGTGATAATTAACTTCTCTTGGTCCCTTCAGAGACATTGGTTCTTCAGAATCTTTCTTAAAAGTTCCTGTAGCTTTAACAGTTACTTCAGCAACCTCATCAATCTGTCTCAGTGAGTCTTTCTGAATAAACAAAGCTTATCCTTTTGAATGTGACTCGAGTACTCTATAAACAAATCAGGTCTCCATTAGCTACAGCGATGCTGGCAGGGCCTATAAACCATTAGAGACCATTTTCTTCCTTTCTTTTTTCTTTAATTGGAGTTGCTAGACCTTCAGCACAAACCACAATTTTGTTTCTTTTTATTTTCTTTAATTGTAGTAAAATACGCAGAGCATAAAATTTACCATTTTAAGTGTATTTAGTACCTTCATATTGTTGTGAAACTATCACCATCATCTATCTCCAGGTGCTGTTTTTTTAAACAAAATGTTAAAATCCAGTGGGGCAAAAATAATATAGCTATTTTCCAGTAGAGCTTGAAAATTGGAG